AGTGCTATAACCTGCACTTTAAATTCAATATATTTTATATAAATAGTGACTTTTGACAACTTCAAATGGTGGTACAATTCTTATTAAATGGTTGCTCTTGTTTTAGTTTAATATGCATTGCATATACACAACTGCTAGTTGTGGGAACTGGATAGCATTGTGGTATATAAAAATTAACCCCAAACTCATGCATAGACTTGCTTAAAATATGTCTGTCTTTTGATATGAATGGGAATCAATTGTTTGTAGTTTAATATTTAGGAATACATAGTTTATCTTGATGTAGTGTTGTTAATCATTTTATTCTAGATTTTAATTTTCTCATGTTTATGGCAGTTATATTTAGTTGCTTCAGTTAAAGTTCTTAATCTTGGGTTGACTTTGGTATTTCAGGCAAAACAGAAAGTATAGGAATGCACCTACTCCTACATATTCCGAAAAGAGAAGTCATGTGAGTTATTTTTGGATGGGAAACTCAAATAAAATTTAATAAATGTTTGATTATTGTACCAATTAGTAAAATTAAAGATAATTCTTCAAGTTCCGATGTTAGCTTCACTCACCTTAATGTTTATTGTTTAATGATTTCCCTCTCAACTATTTCCTAATAAAATTCCTTTCCTTTTTGTAAGACTAGTGTAGATAAGCAAAAATGCATCCTTAAATTACAATGTCTAACATAGTAGTCCTTCAGAGATTTTTGTTGGACCACTTTAATTATTGAAATATTTCACCTTAAAATTGAAGATTGTGCCCTTAACTAGGATACCCATTATGAAATACCTTTTTTTTTCACTCTATAAAATTGAATATCTCTATATATTATACCAATAAAAAAATAGATAAAATTAAAAAAAAATTAACGACATGTAGTAAAAGAATTAAAAGAACTACAAATATAAGAATAAAAATAATTTATCTTAAACTATAAAAATTAAAAATGATTGTAAAAGGTAAGTATATAAATTAAAAATATCTATTTTAAACTATCTTCAAAGCACATTAAACCACACACACTAGATGAGTTGCAAAATAAACTCCTTAAGCCCACCATTTCCATGCAAATTGTGCACCAAGAAATCAAAGTTTAGAAGAAGAAGCACTATCTTCTTTTCCTTTTCAAGTGAAAAACAGGAAAATATCATTTCCACAAGCATTGAACCCTCAACAACCGAGTCTTACACTGTCAGTTTCAAGACAGAAAAGGGTTGCAGGCTTGGAATTTCAAGGTATCCTGACTTTGAGTATGATGCTGAAGGGGGAATAGGAACTGGAGTTGGTGCGAAGGTCACAGAGAATTCAACCGAAAATGACCTTCCTGTTTCATTTGATCTTGAAACTTTGTATATTCCACCACTAACAAGTTCTACAACCAAGTTTCTTGGATTGCCATTGCCACCATTTTTGAAGATTGATATAGTTCCACAAGCATTCCAAGGAAGTATTAACCAAGAATCTGGCAAGGTAAACATAAGTTCTCGAGATTATACTTCAACTTCAAAGGATTGTGTATTATTGGTATGTTTGGATAAACATTATTGGTATGTTTTGATAAATTTTTCTATAATTCTTTTGGAAAAAAAAATGAAGAAAAAATGAAATAAATTTTTTTATATGATAAAACTTATTTTATATATAAGCTTATGTATAACTTTTTTAGAAAAATTATATTATAGAGCTTTTACAAATTAATTTATTTATAAACTAATTTTAATTTCCTATTTTTTTCCTCCTAGAAGTAATTTTAGAGAAATTTATTCAAACAAATGTTATGTGTACAACTTTTAGTGACCCTAATTAATGCTTTGCAGTGTGTTTGTTTCAAATTTTCTTTTAGGACTGATTTTAGAGAAAGATGAGTGAAATACAATAGTTTAATAGACATTCATTATCTGTGTGAAAATTTTGTACCACTAATCATTCAAAAATCATCTGTCATATAGCTTCTATAACAGTTATAATTAAAGTCAATAAATTTACTCTCTATATATATTAATTTGCGATAAAATAACAATATAAAAAGAATTTACACTGCCAAAGTTAATTAGAGAAACTTCTGCATTGTAAAGGCAAAAACAGTTGGTCAAGCATGATCTTATTTTAATTTGCCAAAGGTGTCTCTCTAATTAGTTTAGTTCCATATATAACCACCCAATTAATGATATGGTTGCTTCGGTTTTTTTTTTTTTTTTTTTTTACAAGGTTGATCTTGAGTTCAAGGCCAGATTCATTTTTTCTGCTGGTAGTCTCTATAAGGCTGCCCCACTGCTGGTGAAGACAGTGTTGACATCTGAAGAATCAAAGGGCATTGTGAAGAGTGGAAGAGGCAAGAGATTGGATAAAGAGGGAAAATGCAGATTGGTTGGTGTGGCAACAGTTGATCCTATCGATGATTTCCTTGTAAATTCCTTTCTTGGTCTTCCAACTGAGTGCCTTGCTGACTTAAAGGCTGTAATCTCCATTTCTTCCTCATCTTAAGATCTCATTACTAAACTTTGATATTTGTTGAAATCTAGTTAGAGTCTGTTTATGTAAATTTTTCCAAAAGTAAAAATTAGAAAAAAAATATGTAATAAACTTTTTTAAAAATTAAAATTACTTTATGTATAAATTAATTTGTAAAAACTCTTTTATTAACTTCTTCAAACTCATATTTTTTATTCACGCATTACCTAATTTTAGTTTATAAAAAAAAATTCAATTTTTTTTTTGAGTTAGAAGTACTTGAAAAAAGTCTATTCAACCACATACTTATATTTGTTACATCCAAGTTGGAAAATCATTGTGAATTGGGAAGTAGTTCAAGATGATGTGATGTAGAGAACAGTTAAATTGAACTAGTTTACCCAATATTTCAGCCTTGTGGCCTAACAACCATGCATAACTATAAGTAAAGCAATTATAAATGTACTCAATAAAAAGAAGAGCGAACTCTAATCTAATATCCTTAAACTTTTGTTATCTTCATGTGTTTTTAATTAACACTATTTTCAAGGACTGATTTCGTGTATAAAGGAGATACTGAAAGATTGTGTCACACGTTTGTGTATATATCTAATATCTATATCAATATATATATATTAAGAAAAATCTATACGTACATACATGAATTGCTCTTGGAATGTTTTACTTTACTGATTTAATTTATACATATTGTATTAACTGTACTGCGAAGCTGAGCTCCTAGCTCGACATCACAGCGCAAGATGACCTCGGATACGCTCTGTGTGACGTCAGCTCGTCACTTAAACAGGTCACAACCGATCTCGGGTCTAAGGCCCAATACAACCCTAATTTACACCAAGGTACGTGTATTACTTATACGAGACTCATACTCATACAAACCCTAATTTTGGCATCAGTGTCTCTTTTGTAGGTACCACCCTTATCTTGGAGCACCAACGTACCAGTGAAGGAGGCTCACCGATCTTACTTGGCGGATCATCTCTACAGCAGATCTCCGGTAAGGAAATTTGGCGCCCACCGTGGGGCCGATCAAGACAGCTCTTATTGGCCACGCTTATGGTTTTCACCAGAAGCCATAGTAGACACGCAACAAACGACCTAGATCACACAACTACCATGGATAACGAATCAGCATTGAGAAGACTGATCGAGCAGGTTGAACAGATGCGGCAACAACACGCCGCCGATCTACAAAGTATGCGTGCCAAGCACGAAACTGACCTAGCAGCGATGCGTACCGCTAATGAAGCTGACCTAGCGGCACTACGTGCTTAGAACGAGCGTATTCGCGCTCAACTCCCTCGGCGTCCCTCGGATCAACCCCCTCCACAAAGTAACCTGCATGCGGATGAAGGGCACTCGGTTTCTCAACCGCCAACAGCGGCTAGGGCACCGGCTCCCAGGCCTGCCACACATCTGTCTCACGTATCGACGAACAGGTCGGCGCATGACGTCAGCAACACTCCCGCCCACGACACGGGGAATCAGACGACCTTCCGCCATAATCCTTTTGTGGACGGCATCAAGGAGACACCTCTCCCTTTTGGGTGGAAGCCTCTCCACCTTGACCGTTACGACGACACAACAGATCCAGACGAGCACATCGATCTATACACCACACAGGTAAACCTCTATACTAATGAGGACGCTATACTATGCAGGGTTTTTCTAACCTCGCTTAAGGGGGCTGCACTCAATTGGTACACCCAGCTCCCCGCTAAGTCGATCGACAGTTTCAGCACTCTGGTCAGGCGATTCACGGCACAATATGCAACGAGCCGACCTCATCACATCACGTTAGTCGCTCTGGCCAGCCTCAGACAGAACGACGACTAGCCACTCCGGGCGTTCATGGAACAATTTGCCGCCACCTCGGTAAAGATCAGAAATCTGAATCCCGAGGTCCCCTGCACGCCATGCTCATGGCACTCAAGCCCGGACCGTTCGTCGACAGTCTATGTCGTGAAGCTCCTCGTGATATGGACGAGCTCCGCGCCCGTGCTGTTGGGTATATCCAAATGGAGGAACACTCTGCCTTCCGTGACCAGGCTCGCGGGAAATCACAGGCGAAACCCGACAATGGCCACAAAGACAAGATGAAGGTCACCAACGACAACCAATTCAAGAAAACTGCCAGGACAGGCAAGGAGGGAGATACGTGATGGAGGACCATCCATGGTACTTCATGTGAAACC